TAACATTAGGATGAAGAGTAATTGAGCTCTTGGATATTTTGAAAGCAAAATTAATTATAGTATTCGAGATCCCATTTGATCAACCTACTTGCACAAATTTATTTCAAAAATGAAATGAGGGCACAACGTAGTCTTACATGTTTTCTCTGTGACATAATCTTACATAAATATTCAGATATCTTCACATGTCTCAAATAGATGTATAGGAAAACTGTTTATGATAATTCTCTAGCAAAAGCCCAGGATTACTATTCCATATTATACTATAGTTCTGCTAGATAGCACGATCCAATGAAACCCAAAGAGTCCTTGTGATGCTCAGAGGCAGGAAGACAGAGAGTACAAGGCAGGTGCCAGGGAAAGGGAGGACAAAATGGAGAAGAGAGAGATGGAGAGGAGTGGGAAGAAATAACGTGTCATTAGGTCTGTTGTTTTTTTAAAAAATTTGTTTATATTTAGGTTTTATTCACATGTCTTTCAAGTTTCTTTTCTCCAAACTGAAAAATAATTATCTTAATGAATCTGCTACAATTTATTTATAACTTCCTTAGGAATGTCTTACTATACTCTACTTGAGAAATGAGTCTAAAAGAGTATTTAACAGAAATACTGACTTCCTGGGCTAAAGGCATGCACACAGTGTATACAATTTTTAAAATTTCTTTTTACTGTGCCTATAATTCAAAATGCCATAAAAAATGTTTAATGTCTTTCCCACACCAAATATACATGTTGCCCCATAATTTGCTTCAAAAATTTTAAAGGGGTTATTCAAACGCAAATTATCCTAAAAGAGATGATTGACAATAGTGAATTCACTCCCAGGATGCTGCTGCTGATTATCAATCAAATAATATAGGACTCTAAAGATTAAAGTTTCTTCTACCATCCCCATCCTCACTTTACTCCTCAAAAGTAATCACTTATAATAGTTTAGTGGAAATCTCTCTAGATGTTTTCTAGACATTCAATAGATACATGCTCATCTCCTGTGCACTGTTGTGCACTAAATGCACTGTTGTAGGTGCTGGTGATACAATAATGCTCAAAAAAAAAAAAAAAAGAAACCAGACCAACTCTTTGCTTTCAAGGTCTTTACAGTTTAGTGTATGAAACATAAAGTGAATAAACAAACCAGTAAACATACAACATGATATCAAGTAATGGTAAGTGCTAAGAAGTCGATAGTAGGACAAAAAGACAGAATAGAGGTGTTTACTAGTTGAGTTGGGGGGGTCAGGGAAGCCCTCTTTACCTGAATACAGTGAGAAAATGATCCTCTCAAATATGGTAAGAGAGTCTAAGCAAAGCAAAAAGCAAGTGCAAAGACCCTAGAGCAGAAGCAAGCCTGGCAGGGTTGAGCACAGTAAGGTCAGTGTTGCTGGAACAAAATGCGTAAGGGGAAACTAGTTAAGAGATGAAGGTAAAGACAGCGCTTGTGATGAGCTATGTAGGACTTTATGAATTAGGCATTGACAAGGTCTGACTCTAAAAGAGGCATTCTGGCTGCAGAAGACAGACTAAAGTGGGTCAGGACAAGAACTGGGAGACCAGTGGGAGGCTACTGCAGTTGGCCAGGAGAGAGGTGATGGTGGCTTTGTCTCATTCATTGCTGGTAGGAATGCAGAACAGTAAGCCACCTTGGGAGACAGTTTGGAAGTTTCTTTAAAAAACGAAACATACTCTTACCATACAATCCAACCATTGTGGTCCTTGGTATTTACTCAAATGAACTGGAAAAGTCTGCATACAACTATTTATAACAGTTTTTTGGTAGTTGTCAGAACTTGGAAGCGACCAAGATGACCATGGTTGAATGTATAAACAAACTAGTATATCCATACAATAGATTCTGATTCAGCAATAAAAAAAGAGCTATTAATACATGAAAAGACAGTTTGGTGTTTAGATCCATAATAGCTAAAAAGGCAATTTAGTTCCTTGCAAATGATTTTTTTTTTTAAAGATTTTATTTATTTACTTGACAGAGAGAGACACAGCGAGAGAGGGAACACAAGCAGGGGGAGTGGGAGAGCGAGAAGCAGGCTTCCTGCTGAGCAGGGAGCCCAATGCGGGACTCAATCCCAGGACCCTGGGACCATGACCTGAGCCGAAGGCAGACGCTTAACGACTGAGCCACCCAGGCGCCCCCCTTGCAAATGATTTTTATATTTCAAAACCAGAAGTACAAGTGATGTTCTCTATTAAGTGAATATTAATATAATGCAGAGTTGTGCCTTTGTCATCTATCGGATTTATAATCCATGAGGGTAGTTACCACATAGTGTTCATGAATGATAGAAATATTCTATCTCCTTAGCCTTTATATTATTAGAAAGAGAGAATGAGAGAAAGAGAGAGAGAGATTGAAATTAATTTTAAGGAATTGGTTCACATGATTGTGGGGGCTGGTGAGACGGAAATCTTCAGAACAGACTGACACTGGCTGGAAATTCTGGCAGGAGTAAATGTTAACAATCTTTAGTCTGAAAGCAGTCTGAAGGCAGAATTACTTCCTCTTAAGGGAATCTCTGTTTTACCTCTTAAGGCCTTTAATTAATTGGATGAGCCCACTCACATTATGGAAGGTAATCTGCTTTACTCAAAGTCTACTGATTTAAATGTCAATCACATGTAAAAAAACACCTTGACAGCAACACTTAGACTGATGTTTGACCAAATAACGGGCACTATACCCTAGCCATGGTTAACATATAAAATTAACCATTGAAGAGGTATTTGTTGCTTTTTCAAAATTTGCTTTTAGTTATAGAATAACATATCTCATGCTTTCCCCTTTACACACTCCTTTATTCCTATACCCACAAATGAATTCACATTACTCTTTCTCCAAGATTATATGTTCATTCCTTCTTAATGAATGACATCATGCATCATGATGAAGAATAACCATATTACCAGACTCTTAAGTTTCATATCCCTATTTGATATCTCATTTCCGTATGCTGATTTTGTTGATGATCTGTCTTGGAAAATTTATGAGCTTAGGACATACAGTCTTAAAGTCATCAACATCAAATTTTCAAAGAATCAATTGACCTGCATTACAATGTGTCTGTCATTCTACTTTGAGTAGCTGATAAAACAAGGCAGCAGGAGAATTCTTGGAGCTTGGTGACATCACAGGATTACACCACAATGACTCCCATTCCACCTGTCCTGTTCTGTGGTTTTATCTGATCACTAGATAAGAAATAATGGAAATAGTATAAGCCCTGAATTTTCAGACACTACATGGTCTAAATGGGCTAAACAGGCTAAAATGGACAAAATGCTAAAAAAAATATTTTGCCAGGGGTTACAATGTCAGTGTATTAAGGATAAATCAAAACCGCCCAAACATAAGTTCCAAAAGAAAATTAAAAAAGATACAAAGTAAGTATTAATCAGTATTAACTTCCAGTTACTTAAAGCTCTTTTATCTTCATACGTATACCTGTAGTTTTGTAACTCCAGCACTTAAGATGTATATATTTTCTCATAAGTCATTTCATAAATTCATTTGTGTGGTTATACCATGAAAAGTAAATATTGGCAAGTGACTGTGCTCTGAATATTTCTAGAAAAGAGCAGCACATAGAGGTCATCATATAACCTTTTTTTTTTTTGTTTTTTTTTAATTAATTTATTTTTTTGATGTAGTGTTCCATGATTCATTGTTTGCATATAACACCCAGTGCTCTATTCAATACATGCCCTCTTTAATACCCATTACCTTTTGAGACTCTTTCTGGCATCATTGGGTGCTGTGGGTGGGCTTTCTACCTTTTTTTGCCCTTTCCTTGGTCCCTGCCCTCTCAAGATGGTGTGACTTGTCCTGGAGGCCTTAGCACACACTGTCATTCTGTCTTCCTTCCATCAGCTTATGATCCCTGGGCTTCACTCTGTACAAAGAGATTTACCTAAGCGAATGGAACCCCAAAGCCAAAACTAAAGTGCGCTAAAAATAGCTCTGAGTTATCAGTGCACCGACACGGATACAACAAAGTCAAGCGACAGACAAAGGTGGCCCGTGTTCTTCCCGGAGGCAAAGCTCAATCGCTCGGTAGAGTGTTTTGTCATTTGTGGGGAGCCTTTCACGCTGTCTTCCCTGCTCACACCTTTAGGAAGTTCTGGATCACTGGAGCTGACCAGCCTTAAGGGCAGGTTCTACACCCCTCAGTTCAGTCAGTGTTGTCTATCTGGAGCTTCTAGAGGACAAGACAGTGCGGTGGTTTTTACTTCCGTTCACTCCCCCTCATGCAGTTGATTTCCTCGCCCGCGCTTCTAGACACGCCTGGTCTCCACCCTCAAGACAGCATCTGCCCTTAACTCGGGGTGTCTCTCTCCCACTTCCGCTGGCTCTGTCACCTAAAATGAGCTTCCAAAATAATATATTTATCTTTTTTCTTCACTTTTTTAATCTGTGATGTTGATCTCAGAATGAATATCTTTTAGAGTACTTGATGAATTATTTTCTAAAATTTAGAGATAGCACTCAGGTAACACATGTGAATGACTTTTGTAGACTCCGAGGCCTTATGCAAGCAGGCTGTGCTAGCTGTATTATGTATAAGCAAGGTTAGTAAATGTAAGACAACTTTGATAGCTTCTATTCTGTTTTCTTTCCACTCCAGTTGCCTCCTTTAATAACAGACATCTGCGTATGAACTCTCTTCTCCATTTTAGTTCTGTTCATTACCAGAAGAGTATATGAATTGATATCTCCAGACCGGTATCACGGTATCACGGTATCACGTTTGGGAAGCTGCAAAAGCTCAAGTCCGTTAGTGCTTGCCTTCAGAAGACGACCAATTTGAGAAATTCAGAGCTTTTCAAATGTTAATCCAATCATTTTTCCTTTCTTTTTTTTTAAGTAGCTAGTATTAAGGGATGATCAGAGAGTGATTTGCTATATTTTCAATCCTATTGCAATGTTTGTTTTGTTATCAGATTTTCTTCACTTTTTCCTAAAGTTCAATCTGTATAAATTTTTGTAGAAGACTGCTGGATACCGAAGATGAGCTCAGTGACATTCAGACAGATTCGGTCCCATCAGAAGTACGGGACTGGTTGGCGTCCACCTTCACAAGGAAAATGGGGATGATGAAAAAGAAATCTGAGGAAAAACCAAAATTTCGAAGCATTGTGCATGCTGTTCAAGCTGGAATTTTTGTGGAAAGGTAAGTGAAATTGTTAGTATCTCAAGATGATAAAATTTGGAAGGCAGGAGATATACTTACCATATCAAAGTTATAGGAGTCAAACATTTTACTTATTGAGGAACACTTCAGTTATAAGTATACCCAGAATGAGCAAATTTAGAACTTGGTTGTGAATTTGCCTTAACAAAAATGTTTTGTCCTGGGTTTAGTACTTTTATTTCTTTTAAATTGACATAAAGACTGGGGCGCCTGGTTGGCTTAGTTGGTTAAGCGTCTGCCTTCGGCTCAGGTTATGATCTCAGGGTCCTGGGATAGAGCCCCTTGTCTGGCTCCTGCTCAGCGGAGAGCCTGCTTTTCCCTCTGTCTACCGCTCTACCTACTTGTGGTCTCTCTCTCTCTGTCAAAGAAATAAATAAAATTAAATAAATAAATAAATAAATAATAAATTGACCTAAAGACTAAAAGCAAGGGTGCCTGGGTGACTCAGGCGGTTAATCGTCTGCCTTTGGCTCAGGTCATGATTCCAGGGTCCTGGGATAGAGCCTCACGTCAGGCTCCCTGCTCAGTTGGGAGCCTGCTTCTCCTTCTCCCTCTGCCCTTCCCCCCTGCTTACGCACACTCTCTCTCTCCCTTTCTCTCTCTTTCTTTCTCTCTCTCTCTCTCATGCACGTACACGTGCAAATAAAATATTTTTTAAAAAAGGAAAGACTAAAAGCAAAGATTTTGAATGGCCAATGCCCTCAAATGTACCTTTGTGAGTAACTTAAAAAAATTATAGCATGTTCATGTGTTACACAACTAATTTTATTTGCATAAAATGTAACATTTCATAAAACAAGTTCTGTACTACATACTAAAATCAAACGGGCCTTTCTCTGCATTAAAGCAAAAAGACCATCCTCTTTCCATCATGGGAGAAAAGCTCCTTATGTCTGCTTTTGAAGAGCTTTTGACATTTCTGTCACTGAAGCAAGGAATACTTGATGACCCCTAGATGCTCCAAATCGAATCACCATAGTTTCTCATGTGAAATACATGTTAATGTGGCCTAATTTTTTATTTGTTTAGCCCTTTAAGAATACAGCCTATTTTTCTGTCTAGGAAACAAGATGTTCCAGAATTAAAACTAAAGAAAATACTTGAAATAAACACGTTACATCTGACAATTTTTGAAAACTAGTTACTAGAAATCGCTTAGATTAAAAAAAATTGCGTTATATTAAATTATATATAAAAAGATGAAATATTTTCTAAACTAATAAAATTGAGGAAGAGAGTTTTTTTTGTCAGTGTGCTTAAATTTAAGAGAGACCACATCATTTTTCATCTTCTGAGATCTCTATTATTTCTAATGAACATTATATACTTTAATTTTCCTCTGATAAAGGAACAATAGGAAACACATTTGCGTTTCTAAAAATGTAAATGAGAATGCATTGCAAGAAATATTTGATGCCATTTAAAAATATAACTACAGCACATAAAACTTGAAGTTTCTTGTTTTGTGCTTCTACTATCCACGATAATAACCACTCAGTGATTATTTAAATTATTTTGAGTATTTATTAACTATATTTAATTGGCTTTGATAAAAGAATCCTCATAATAAGCAATTTGATTAGTGTGGTGAGGTGATACCCACACCCCCTTATAAGGTGCATAAACTGGTCTCAACTCTGCCAGGTGGGACCAGAAGTCTGCAACAGGGAAGCAAGGCTGGAGAGAAAGAATATCCATAACCATGTTGCCATTTTTAAAAAAAACAACTTAGGAAAGTGTATGACAGTTATTGATTTTCATTAACACCAAATTGAAAATATCTCAATAGTAGTTCAGAAAGTCAGTGAGAGAATCACCAATAAAAGAGAATATGTGTGATTTGCTAAAAGAATGTGTATTTTGTCTTTTTCAGGAAAATATTGTAGAACTTGGCAAACTAAAAAGGATGCAAACTGTGGGAGTCAATTTCTATTTCCATCCAGTAAAAGATTAAGATTTCTGTAAAATATATTGATATGCTAAGTTTTCATTTTTTTCATATGCTACATAAAATATTTTATTTAATGACCTGTAGAAATAGCAAATATACTTAAGGTAACTAAACTAGCAAGCAGTCTTGAAGAAATCAGTAAGTTACACATATATGGAAATGAAATCTCTTTGATTACTCTTGTATCCCCATTAGGAGGTGCATAAAAGTAGGGGCACATGTTTATCTTGAATTTTCAAAGATGATCATCTTCAATTTTGAAAATTAGAAAGCTTTCCTGAGTATTCTCTCAAGTCTCCCCTCCCCAAGACTCCGTGCCTCTGCAGGTCCTGGCAATTCATTACCTAGAGATACCTTGAATCTGCTCACTTTCCCATCTCTCCTCCCACAACCCCAGTCCCCAGCTCTGTCACCTGCCATCAGAAATACGACAGTAGCTTTCCAGTTGGGCCCCCCACTTCCTCAACTGCCGTCTCCAAACAAGTCATTTTACAGTGACGTTTTAAAATATAAATTAGTCCCTGTCACTCCTAAGCTTAAAACCATCTGATGGTTTTCCATTTCACTTGGTATTAAGGGCGACTTCTGTATCATGGTTTTGTGGGATTCGGCACCTTTTTACCTTCTTGCCTCATCAAATGCTACCTTCATTTTTGAGTGAATATCTATATTGCTCTGATTTCAACCCACATTCCTAACTCTTTCTCCCCTTGGGACCATAATCCTATTACTTCCTCTACCAAAAATTATTTTCCCTGCCCTGCCCTGCCCCTGGCTGGCCCTTCCTGTCTTTCCAGATGCCTTCCCTTAGCACTGTGTACAGTGTACATCACTTTGTCTACCCTGACCAGTCGTTTACCTCACAGCACTGAGTGCTGCTTGTAATCATGTATTTTTTAATTTATTGCCCCTCTTCACTGTTCAGTAAGCCTCACGAAAGCAACAACTGTCTTTTTCTTGTTCGCCACTGGTCTCTTACCTAGCACAGTATCTGAAATAAGATAGTTTTTCATTTTTGTGGAGTTTTTTTGAGTTTTTGAATTATACATTGCAACTCTAGTAAAAACTTCCAAAAAGAATTCCCTATATTTCCAGTTGGACTTTCACCACTTGCAGGAGCCCAGGAAATGCATTGTTCTTTTTCAGCAGCTTGTAATATATCAGCGATTTACTCAAGTGTGAGGCAGCTGTGTTAAGGTCTCCCCCACACGGATTCTGAACCGTCATCTTCATTTTTTTTTGTCCTAATATTCTATTCCTTATTATAGGATTAGAAGATGATAATGGGGAAGTCCTTCATTTCCTCAGAAGGATAAGCTTCTTGGTCTTGCTTTACATTCCATGTAATGAGAATGCACACTGACATTCATTCCTCAAATGTATTCCAGGTCTAAGAGATCAGCACCAGAGTTCCCACAGAGCCCTGGCAGCCCCAAAGAACCAAGAATTGCAGGCAACAGCACTGGCTGCAGAGTAGTGAGAAGAGTAACATTAATAATAACAATGGCTTTCTTGTATTGAGCATTTATTCTATTATGGTAGACATTTATATCATTTACTCTTCACAAAAAGCTTATAATTATCCTCATTTTACAGATGAGTGACATTAAATAGCTTTCCAAAAGTCACATAGTTAGTGAGTGGCTAGTCTGTGATTTAAAGCATGTCTTCTCTTTGCTTCATCCTACTGCTTTTCTGTGCCATGAAGTCACAGGGATTGAAAGTTACTTAATTTTTTTAATTTCTTACTACTGATTATTGACCTTATTTTCCTAGACCATTATCCTTTTATTTCCCCTGTCCCTCCATTTTTTAGTAATGATGACTAGAAAAATAGATATAAAAGACTGTTGTCTCCAAAAAACCCCACAAAATAACTAAATATCATTATTATTATTTTTTTAAAGATTTTATTTATTTGACAGAGACAGCGAGAGAGGGAACACAAGCAGGGGGAGTGGGCGAGGGAGAAGCAGGCTTCCTGCCGAGCAGGGAGCCCGATGTGGGGCTCGATCCTAGGACCCTGGGATCATGAACTGAGCCGAAGGCAGTTGCTTAACCAACTGAGCCACCTAGGTGCCCCACTAAATATCATTATTGACAGTAATTATTTTCTGGGTCTGATATGGTGCAATTACTAATTTCCTTGCCTGCAAGAGTACAATAATTATGCCTATCTCAATGGAGTAATTAAGTATTTTATAAATGGAGTATTAAGCATTTTATAAATGCTCTGAAATCTTCCAAGAGAGATAGAGAATAAGGATAATTTTTTATTAAAACCAATTACCCACAGTCAAAAATTATTTAGAGTCATTTAAAATAAACATTAAATGGAAATAGTGAAATAAAGTAATAAGATGTCTGTGATAAAATGAGGAGATACTTTATCAAGGAAGCCTAGGCTAAAGATATACGTAAATGAAATTTTTTAATTCTGAGCTTTCAAGAAGTCAAGATTAAAAAGAGAAACATGAGAGGCGCCAGGGTGGCTCAGTTGGTTAAGTGACCATCTCTTGGCTTCAGCTCAGGTCATGATCTCAGGGTCCTGGGATGGAGCCCCGCATCAGGCTCCCTTCTCAGCGAGGATTGCTGCTTGCCTCCTTCTCCCTCTACCCACTACCCTCTCTCTCTCAAATAAATAAATAAATATTTTTAAAAAGAGAGAGAGAGAGAAACATGAATTATTTTACATAGACACTAAGTAATGGGTCTTATGGATTTTTAATCCATAAGGTACATTGAATCAAAAAGGTTAGTGTCCAGGGGTGCCTGGGGGGCTCAGTCAGTTAAGTGTATGACTCTTGGTTTTGGCTCAGGTCGTGATCTCGGGGTCGTGAGAGCGAGTCCTGCATCGAGCTCAGCACTCAATGTGGCGTCTGCTTGAGATTCTCTCTCCCTCTCCCTCTGCCTCTACCGCTGTGTTCTCTCTCTCTAAAATAAATACTAAAAATCTTAAAAAAAAAAGTTAGTGTCTTCTGTAGTGGCTTTATGAAATTGCAAAATATTTTCCAAATGACTATTTCTTATATTGACCTCCCTCATATAAATTAATGATATAATCATTAAATTATGACTTTGTTCAGGCATCTTGGGAGAAGTTACAACAGTATAGTCTAGGAATGTAACTTGCCAATGGACTAACAATATGAAAATGAAGGGACATGATTGATAGTTAATTCTTTCTTCCCAGGACGTTGGGGAATGAACCATGTATCTTCCAGTTCTGAACAGAGGTCTATGCTATTCTTACACATTGGGGTATCACATTGGTTTTCTTGTCACATGAACTAATGGAAGAGTTTCATTTTTTTGGTGTATGTCATTTTTTTTTAAAGATTTTATTTATTTATTTGACAGAGAGACAGCGAGAGAGGGAACACAAGCAGGGGGAGGGGCAGAGGGAGAAGCAGGCTTCCCGCAGAGCAGGGAGCCCGATGCGGGACTCGATCCCAGGACACTGGGATCATGACCTGAGCCGAAGGCAGACACTTAATGACTGAGCCACCCAGGTGCCCCGGTGTATGTCATTTTGGTTGCCCATCAGAAGATCCAGCAAATTACTGATTAATAAAAATACTTTTATTTGTGCTATTATAAAAATTGAAATAACTTTGTTCTGCATAAGGTTTCTTAATTTTTATTAAGTGATAGTTTGAACAAACTTCAGCAATTTTTGTCAATATGGTCTGCCCTAGTATTTTTAACTTTAAAAAAAAGGAAGCTGTATAAATTCCGATGATACTACGTATTCTCTCTTATAATTTCCATTTTATAAAAAAAAAGAAGAAGAAGAAGAAAGAAATCCATAAAGGAAATATTTTAATGGCATTCAGCTTCCAGACCAAAAATTTTGGCACATTAATGGATGCAAAACAAGAATATTCTTCTGTCATTGATATGGTGACATGCCAGAAAGCTTTGTTGCATGTACAAAGGACAGTCTCTTTTAATAGGATGAAGCAAAGAAAAAGATGTCAATCATATTGACTTAATAGGGTGCTTGTGTGTAGACATATTCACATTAACATTTGTCACATTGTAGATTCTCAATAAATGGTGACCATATTTATTATTGCTGCCACAAAGAAAGCCTGTAATTAATGATAAAAGGTGAACATGCCAAAAGTAATCTTTTCCCTTATATTTAAAAAATAGTTGAAAACTTTGAGTAAATGAGTCTTATATATACACTTATTTTTCTTTTTCAGGATGTACAGAAAGTCCTATCACATGGTTGGTTTGGTATATCCAGAAGCTGTCATAGTCACATTAAAGGTGAAATAATTTCAATTATTTAAATTTTTCAAAGAGTCATTTTTTTAAAATCTTCTTAAAATGGCTGGGAGAAAATGAGAATAGGTCTTTGCTGCAGCTTATGTATTGGTACGTAAAAAATACTGTAGCCATTTACAACATGTCATGTGTTCCAAATCATGACTCGTTGTAGACTTAAATGAGGATTGATTTACACTAACAAACTATGTCAATGCATATGCAAGTGTGTGCACACACATATGTGATTTTTTTTTCTTCTTCATGCTTTATTTAGGTGGATCTTGAATTCAGTTTTGAGATGGCACCAGGACTTGTCAGAATATACATATTTTCTTATGTATATATTGTGGGAAAGTTGCATGCACTAAAAAAAAAGATGTTCCAGGACAAAACTTATATGAAAGAAATTTCTTTAGAATTTTAGGTCTGAGAACATATAAAAAGATAAAATTAAGGGTGCCTGGGTGGCTCAGATGGTTAAGTGTCTGCCTTCAGCTCAGGTCATGATCCCAGGGTCCTGGGATGGAGTCCCACATCAGGCTCCCTGCTCAGCGGGGAGCCTGCTTCTCCCTCTGCCTCTCTCTCTCTCTGTCTCTTACAAATAAATAAATAAAATCTTTTTTTTAAAAAAAGATAAAATTAAGAAAGAAAGCAAAAAAGATATTCATCTCCCTTATCTCTGCTTTTTCTGTGGCTGAGGCCCAAATGCAGTATTAAATGTTAGAAATAACTCGAGTCAAAACTCTAAAGTGGTGAAAGTTTTTGGTTCACTTGTCTCCACTGCCTGTGTATGCATGAGCACTGTTCCTATTCTAAGCTCATCATTCAACATCCCTGATTTCTTTCTATCATTTAATTTGTGTAGAGAAATTCAAGTTTGTCTCCTCTAACAATTTCATGGTGGTTTTCCTGTATCACCCAAGAATTTAAAGGACACTGGCAACAGAATATCCTGAGTTGCTTTATTTTGGGTTTATTAAATTCCTTTTCTAGTTTAAATTTATATTGCTATTTATATTATATTCTTTTGTTAATTTCCTTTTACGCATCCCCTTTGCATTTGTTTTTTTTTTTTCTCCTCTGCTGCATATTAGACTTTAATCTTATTAATTTAAAAAGGTAGTTTTTCTTGGACAGTTTTTTATATTTATGTTTCTAAAGCTATAAAAAAAGACAAGTATATAAGTGAAATGTCACATTATAAGATATTAATTACTCCTTGGATCTTGTGAGATTTTGATTTCATCAGCTATAAGCAAAGATATTACTTATTTTTATTTTTTTAATAACCTTTACTTAGAAACGAACACAATATTTTAGTATGAAAGAAAGTAAACACTTTTTCTAAAATATGGTATAAAAAATGTATAAACTAACAGGTTGAGGGAGGAAATATCACCAGTAAAGAATATTTTTAGTTAAATAGGGGCGCCTGGGTGGCTCAGTCATTAGGTGTCTACCTTCGGCTCAGGTCATGATCCCAGGGTCCTGGGATCGAGCCCCACATCGGGCTCCCTGTACGCAGGAAGCTTGCTTCTCCCTCTCCCACTCCCCCTGCTTGTGTTCCCTCTCTTGCTGTCTCTCTCTCTCTGTGTCAAATAAATAAATAAAAATCTTAAAAAAAAAAGAATATTTTTAGTTAAATAGTTCGTACTTCCTGAGATACCTTCTTGTCTTGTTTGTTCTCAATGAAGCATCTGCAGTAGTTTATAAATGTAAATCATCATTGTTGATAAAAATCCCCCAAAGTGGAAAACTAACCTTTTATTCAGCGGGAAACCCCTAGAAGGAACTATAAATAGCAGCCTCCTAACAATCTGAACTAATTCTTTGGAATTTGATAAAAGATATTTTGGCCTCATTTGAGCTTTACTGATGGCAAAATGCCTTCTAACACAACCTTCAGAGATTTTAAATTTACAAACAGATAAGGCAAGTGTTTGGGAATCAAATCATGGCCAAATGGAAGGAATTTAACAAAGGCGTACAAGCAAATCAAAAAATATCTTATTGGTGTTTTCAAGTATTTAAAAATAGCATTTGAAGCTGCTATTACTATTTTCAAAAGCAGTATTTTTAAAGGAGACTGTTTGAATACTATTTATCAGATTCTCAGTTTAGTTTCAGCATGTTATAGTACAGATTGTTGGCCTCTGTAAAAATGTATTAAATGAATAAAGTTCTAAATAATCCCAGCTCAAATTCAAAATTAACACACAGTTTTAAGGTTGCCCTATTTAATACTAAACCTGCTGTGTGTATGTAAACACACAATTTGCTAAGAGTTTCTAATAATCATTAGAACTGACTGTTGTATTTCTTCAAATTTTTAAAATTTCAGTGATTTATTTAGTATTGGAGCTCCCACTTTACATGAAAACCTCCTTAGTGTATAGGACTGGTATCACTTGTTATAAGTCCATTTTGTGAACCCCTCGACAAGTTTTCAACTTGGAATTACCTAAAGCAAAAATCATGAGGTAGCTGGAATGGTTTGGCATAGCTCTCATTGCTTTCTCTCCCACTGTCAGTGGATTTTTTCCAAGGGTATGTATGTGTTTCCCTATAGGCTTGGCCACTTCCCTCAGGAATCGCCTGAAATGCTATAATTACTTTCCTCCTCCTCCTCAATCAAAAGACTCACTTCCTTTTCCTTTCCATCTGTCCCTGGAGGAAAGTATAAATGAATCAGCCAAGGTTAGAGTGAGTAATAAGGTGGTATATACTCTATCTTTCTAGGGTGTTTGCAACTTAAAAGAAGACATAAAATATCAAAGCTTTAAATCAAAGGATTACTCTTATGGTGGAATTTCAAGCCATGTAGAAAGTAGTGGGTGGGAAAGAGAAGTTGGGGCTACTTTCCCCTATCCCTCCATTGACATCACCCACATAACCTGTAATTCTACCTTAAACTGAAGCCCACTCTGGGCAAGTGATTTATGGCATGAATTTGAAGAGAGATTGAGAATAAGATCAGTATTATAGTGTTATCAGGTTTGATAACTTTGGGATTAAGGGGAAGATTTTAGCACTTACATTACGCATTATGGCCTCACTTTTGTGAACCCATGGATACTAAGTGGCTCTGTCATATAGGACACTGGAAAAAATATAGTCTGATGTTCTAAATTGAAATGTGACCTGCTAAATCTACAACGCCTGATCTCTCCAAGAATTTTTCATAGAAAGAAACAACTATATAATATTGCCATCTAAAGCATTTACTCCTTTTTTTTACAGGATGTTGATAAATGGTCTTTTGATGTATTTGCCTTAAATGAAGCAAGTGGAGAACACAGTCTGAAGTTTATGATTTATGAACTGTTTACCAGATATGATCTTATCAATCGTTTCAAGGTCAGAAACATGGAACAAAAATGAAATGCTCTTAGAATTAGTTATCTGAATAAGAAAGAAAATGCAGAACATCGAGTCATTAATCAATGCATTTTATAATGTTTCTAGTTGGCAGGTCACAGAACTAGGCGGATGAGTTCACCACATGATATAGCCATTTTCCACAACTCACTGACATATATCCACATGGACATCGTGAGGCCATTGTTGCCTCCTTCCAACAAGATACCAGCATCCACCTGAATTACCCACAGACCAGTCATGTAGAGATTGGGAGCTATGTTTTTAAAAAATATGATCTTCTGTGTTCCCAAAACACAGAATGAACCTTTCTTGGCAGCTTTTCTTAAACTGAGATGAAAGGGCTTCTAATTAATTTCATTTTAGAGCCATTTAAGCAGCAGATTTGACCCAGATTTCTAAGCACTCTGCAACCTGTACCTTTCATCATTACCAATGGAATCATGGAAATTTTAGAGCTAGAAGGTGCTGGAAGGTCATTTATTTTAATCCCTTGTATTACAGATAGAAAAACTAGACATCACCAATTGTAATTTGGAATTTTACCCTTTTAAGAACTAGCCTTCTGTCTTGACTCTGGAAGATATAAACATTTAAAGACAACAATATGGGTAAGATTGTTATTTCATCTTAGTTAAACACCTGGGGATTACAATCTGTTTTAGGATTGAAAGCTAACAGGTTAATGAAATAGTTTTTCAGAGCAGTCTACATTTAACCTCAAAAAACTACTGCCCACATCTGACTCACAATTGTGTCCCATCCCAAACATTGTTGTGCTCATGTTGATTTAGTGCTACTATTTTGGTCAAAATATAATCATGATTATTACTTTTTGCAGATTCCTGTTTCTTGCCTAATTTCCTTTGCAGAAGGTTTAGAAGTTGGTTACAGCAAGTACAAAAATCCTTATCACAATTTGATTCATGCAGCTGATGTCACTCAAACTGTGCATTACATAATGCTTCATACAGGTATCATGGTAAGAAAGTTTTTCTAACTTAAGTTTGTTAGTTTGGAACATTAAATTCCTTTCTCCTACACTGCCATTGTCCCACGTTGCCGTTGTCCCTTCAATACCCACAGGAGTATTATAAGTGATGATCTTTTGGATTTCTGAGTGTTAATGAGTTATTCATAATATACATTTTCCAAAAAATATTTTAACTCCATGAAAAAAAAATACCCAGAGGCAAATGTAAATACACTGCAAATTTTCCAAAATTTGGACTCCAGAACATTTTTGTTTATAATTTTTCCCCATAGGAATCACCAAAAAACCAAAAAGTGACCTAGATAAAGTCTTGGGATAAAAGTTAGTTACAGTGCTCTTCCCTCATATTATGTTCTCCCAAGCTGACTTCTGTGGAGTTTTCTCTTTTCCTTGCATTGATAATCACAATTAAATCCTAATAGGGATTTTGGAAGTTATTTATGTGAATTTTTCCAAATTCTCTTTCCTCTTCTTTGCATCTAAATGAATCCATGAATAAGTAAATAAATGATTCAGCAATGCAATCCCAGGACAACAACAAGTAGATGTTAGGAATTCTGACACTGCCTGGAATTTCTGTAATGTCTCAGAGTTTAGGAAAGTGAAAAGAAGGAGCAACTCTTTCTTCTAAAAATTCCACACTGAGGTGGGTTCAAAGGGGTATAGGCCATATGAGATGCCCAAATCTTGGTACCTTCTTGATTCCTTATGTGTCAGCCTATGCTGAAGCTGTGCCATTTAAGTAGAATGTTCCATCAAATCCCATAATATGCATTGCCTACCTATTTTGACTTCAGAAGTCACACACCTATTCTATTGGGTCATTGGCACTCAGATCTATGTAACTAATACTCTTTGGGGCCCAGAGATCCTCAATACCTCATCTGTCCACACCAGAGACTATTCCTAAACTGGTCCCATGCAAAGTCCCTAGGGCCACAGTATGTTGTCCTGAAGATCTTGAAAATTCACAACAGTTACATGATTCTTCAACTTTATTATATACAGAAAATGTTCATATTAATTTTATTTTTCACCCAAGAAACTATAGTGTGCTGTTTACTACACATACAATCCATTTTCTATGGTTCGTCCAATAGTGTCTCATATGATGATTGAATAAATTGTTTACTCTTCTTCTTCATCTTTCTTTGCCTCCAAAATGTTTGCACATCCATCAGTGCCTTGGGCTCAGATCCCACTCTTAACCCATGTTTCAATTATCTCTTGCTCCAAAAAAACTGTTCCAAAACTTAGTGGCTTAAAACAACAACTTATCAATATCTCTCAAAGGTCTGTAGTTAGAAGGATCCCAACTAGCAGGTTCTCACTTGAGGTCGCTGATGGGCTTACAGTTAGCTAACAACCATAGCTGAAGACATCTGAGGACATCACTGGGCAAGATATCCATGGTGGTTCACTCACAAAGCTGGCAGTTGATGATGGCTAATGTCTGAGAGCTCTACTTTTAAGAGAGCCTTTTAATAAAGGATTTTCTTGGAATCTCACCACCAATTCAATAGAAATCTGCACTCTACCAGAAAATTACAAAAAATTACAAAAACAAAAAAACAAAAAACCTGCTTTGGAGTTAAGTTCTATTTGGGAGAGGCAGAAGTCTCAAAAACCTTAACTGAGGCAGTAGCATGACCCCTTTGTGACCTTGTAGAAGGCTGAACTGTATGTGTTGTCAACTTCATAGCTTGTGTTTTCCTATTGTAAGGTATATATGTGGGCATCACAGACTTATGGTATAAATGTGTCCATTGGCTGAGATCAAATGCAGTCATGGCTAGATTTCCTTGGTCTTTGATTGAAACTTACTCTTCTTTCCAGGAGTCTGATTTGACATGTAAAAGGAGGAAGTAGAAGTTAACAATAATAAGTAGAAAATCAAGCATGCAAAGACATAGCTTTAAAATATTATAAGCTTTTAGAAAGTAGTATACGTAACCTTTTTTATAATTGTTTCTAGCATGTGTGCACACACACACAGAGAAATTCTTTTAATGTTCCTTTGCTTTAATAAGACTTCACTGTCATGCCGTTTCTTGAGCTCTTTGCCTCCTGACAGCCGCAAATGCTGTTATCCTTGAAAAAGTCACTTCAACATCTTCCTGGTTAGAGCTGCTTGCTGTTTCCTTTCTAAGGCCTTCGTCTTGAATCTGACAGTGAGATGGTTTTCATTTTAAGCGTGACATGTCCTCTTTCCTGAATTCTGTGGCTTTGAAAAAATTAACTGAAAAATGAAATATTTAAGTGATACTCTGAAATGGAAACTGAGGTGATTAAGTTTCTTCAGAACAAGATGGAATGGAAAAGTAATGCCTACTTCAGTATAATCAAATATCTACTTTAATTATGAAATGCAGTGAGAAGATATATACCATTTTATGCTGGGAGGTAACCAAAATTTCATCGTTTAAAAATATGTTTCTGCTTAAGTACATTTTTTATTTTTTTTTGCTATCAGTATAAAGGGAGCCAAAGAAAAGTCTCCTTTTTCAGCTTCAGAACCTCTCTTCTGAAGGTGACATGGAAGGGATAAAGGATGCCGTGTTATTGGTAAATAGAGAAATTCAAATCCACAGTGTGACTTTTCCCTCAGGCTTGTGAGGAGGACTTGTATCCGGATATAACAAGCCATTCCAACTTCTCCAGAAGACGGGAAATCTGGCCCAGCCTGGCACAACTCCTAAAAAGTTGACATTAATAAAGATTACATAGCCTGTAGCTTACCAATCATAAACAGAACTTCACTCTACTTTAGCAGATTTCATTGGGGAACTCATTTCTGATTTATTCAACCTTCAGCAACAATGTGTCAGTGGGCTCTTTACTCATCGATTAGTTTGGCCGTTACAAAAACAGTCCAGTGGAAGACTGTCATTGTTGTCTGAGATCAGGAAAATACATTTAAACTACAGGAAGTAATGAGAAATTTTATGATAGATGGTAAGAGGAAAGGCAAAATGAATTACGACTTAATTGCCTATGTTACCAAAACTAGCTTTCACAGCCAGCTTGATGGCTTTAGGGAAGTTGTTTTAACAAGCTTTTCTTTAGGTGACGAAAGTAGTGGTAGGGGAGTATTAATTTTGACACAGATGAATGTGTTGGTTCTTTGAAACAACAAAAATGTATTATGGAAATATTCATGTAGGTGAAATTCCTTGGATTTAATATGGGGAAGACTAGGTCACTGGCTTTAGTGCTTTCGTTGATCCCCTGCCATTTCAGGATGGTCTTATCCGTGAGACATTTCTGGAGCACTCCAGTGGTAGCCCCAAACTGTCAGGTGACTAATGCAGCCTGCCCCCTGCAAAATGTTCTGAGGACCAGTGCCTGAAGGGGATTGTGATGAAGCTATTGTCCTTCAGTTTGTTACTGTCACGCGGAATACCCTCAGCCTGGGAGTAGACACAGCAGAGGAGAGTTGATGCTAGTACATCCTCTGTCTGTCTGTCTCTGTCCTTTGACACTTAATTAACTTGTAGCCTTGTGCCAAGGTGACAGGGGTGTGTGGTAGCTCAGTCCATTTGCTAAAGAGCAAATTGCTTCGCCAAATGTTGCCATGCCACCTCCAAGTGTCTCTCTGAATTTGAAATCTTCCAAGGGCCTTGGTAAGAGAACACTTGCATTTAAGGGCTCCTGCCCATGTGTTCTAATAGTAAGAGTAGAAGAAAGAAAGATGACGTGAGGTCTGTTTCCTTTGGAAGTTGTAATCCCCTTAACCACACCCAGAAATAGCCTCCCACACTCCAGAATGACTCAGTTTTTCTCCAATCAATGTACAAAAAATATGCCACTATGTCTCTATTCCACCAACTATGTGGAAATTCTGTTCTTGCAAATGGCATCCCAGACAACAATGTTTGGAAGAGTAGAAAGAGTGCAGGATTTCAAGGCAATCAAGACATAGGTTTGATGGGCGCCTGGGTGGCTCAGTTGGTTGAGCGACTGCCTTCGGCTCAGGTCATGATCCTGGAGTCCCGGGATCAAGTCCCGCATCGGGCTCCCTGCTCGGCAGGGAGTCTGCTTCTCCCTCTGACCCTCCTCCCTCTCATGCGCTCTCTGTCTCTCATTCTCTCTGTCTCAAATAAATAAATAAAATCTTTTAAAAAAAAAAAAAAAGACATAGGTTTGAAACCCTGCTCTACCATGACCTAGATCACTCACTCTCTACCTTGGTTTTCTTGTCATTAATATGTGGTTAATAATACTGACCACCATGTAGGATGACAGTGAAGAGTCAATGATATCATATATGTAAAGCATCTAGCCTAGTTCCTGAAACATAATAGGTATTAACACACATCCTAATATCAATAATAATTGTCAATTTATTTTTGTTATATATTATGTGTATTATGTATTAACATTATTATAACACTCACTTTCTATACTGGATAAGTTATAGCAAACTGTGTTATCCTATTCAAAGGACTAGAGAAAAAAGTGTCCAACCCTATCATTTAGCTAAAAGAGTTGTTAATTATGCTGTTTTAGACACACCAGGAACTAATAGGTCAATGTGATTTTCTGACCTGAAATTCTCCCAACCTTAATATACACACATACACTTTCTCTCTCACACACACACACTGAATAATTCAGATATGAAAATTTACATCACAAGTCTTAAAGCTCTATTTAGAGCTTCTACCCATCAATATACCCAGTTAAACTACCTAGAAATTCTGCTTCTGAAACCTTGGAAAAATGTATTCTGCATATTGCCTCCCTCAAGTTAACGAATGCTGTCATCATCCATAGAAGGAATATTGTGATCTCTGGAAGGAACAGAAACCTTGGAATCAGGTTTTGGGTTGAATTCCTGCTCTGCCACTTGATAGCTATGTAACCTTTGGTAGGTTGACCCAATTCTGTAGGAGTCAGCTTTGTTGCCTGCCAAGTAAAGATAAAGACATTTACCTTATAAATGGAAAACAGCATGATTCTACAAATCGAAAGAGACCGTCTAGCTAAAATGTTAGTTCCTTCTCCTTTCTTTCTGACATCATTATAAAAACTATTGATGGCAGTCAGCATCTCCCTAGGATGATTTGAGACTGCTCATTTTAGAGTTGGTCTACCTGAGCATTTCTCTGGGCAAAATGCAAACTGCAGTTTAGAGGAAGCACAATGTCTGCACTGCTCATGACTCCTCATTGTAACTCTTTACATCTGCCCTTGAGCAACCAGAAGCATGTAGGTTATGTACTGGCCACTGTGCTAGTTGGGAGGAATGATAGGACTCAGCCTCATTCTCTCTAGCATGTTCTCATGAATCAATTACAAAATCCATGAATTCAATCATTCATTTTCTGAGTTGGAATTCTCATTTGGCACCAGTGTAGTAAAATGAATGAACAGCTAAGGAACTAAAATGCAGCCCAAAATTCTACTTTCACTAATACAAAATAGATGTGCTTTTAAATTAGGTGAGAGAGTTCAACATTTCACTCTCTTCAAACTATTTTATAATTTTTTTAAAGATTTTATTTATTTATTTGACAGAGAGAGACACAGTGAGAGATGGAGCACAAGCAGGGGGAGTGGGAGAGGGAGAAGCAGGCTTCCCGCGGAGCAGGGAGCTCGATGCGGGGCTCAATCCCAGGATCCTGGGATCGTGACCTGAGCCGAAGGCAGAAGCTTAACGACTGAGCCACCAGGTGCCCCTAAATTATTTTATAATTTAAACTAAATTATTAGGGCCATAGTGTGGCAATAAATAAGAGGGATTCATGGAGGAAGTACTATTTATGGGAAGCAGAGAATAATGAGACTAAAAACAGGAAATAAGTATAATTAATTTTGACAACTAGGAAGATAATAATTTTAAATACTTATGAGATCATCTATAATTAAAATCCATCTCTGCTGCCCTAATGTAGTGTTTTTTATAATTGCAGTTTCATATTCTATATTATTGTAGATATTAAATATTGCTTTTTTTAAAATCAGAGTTAAATCTGTTAATCTTAAATATATCAATAAGAAATACATAAGGGGCACCTGTGTCCAACTCTTGGTTTTGGCTCAGGTCATGATCTCAGTGTCCGGAGATCAAGCCCTGCATTGGGCTCCACACTCAGTGAGGAGTCTGCTTAAGATTCTCTTCTCCTTCTGCCCCTCCACCCAATGCGTGCCCTCTCTCTCTCTCTCTAATAAATAAATAAATAAAATCTTTAGAAAAAATAGGATGTACTTAAGAAAATTGGTGACTTGTTCCTAGGATCATTTTTTTTAATAAAACAATGAGTTTCTGGGGGTACAAAACCTGGTTTAACTTCAATTGCTATTCATTTTGGTGTTTTTTTATTTTTTTTTAAAGATTTTATTTATTTATTTATTTGAGAGAGAGAAACAGCATGAGAGGGGAGAGGGTCAGAGGGAGAAGCAGGCTCTCCACCGAGCTGGGAGCCCGATGCGGGACTCGATCCCGGGACTCCAGGATCATGACCTGAGCCGAAGGCAGTCGCTTAACCAACTGAGCCACCCAGGTGCCCCTCATGGTGTTTAATTCCACAGTTCACTGGGGACATTGAAGGTTCAGTCCCACTTCAGTCTATAATAGAAGCCATTCTTCCTTTTAATGACTCACAATTAAATGCACCCATAAACACAAAATAGCTAGTTATATTAACTCCCATTGGTTCTGAAAATCATTTCTGCTTCAGTCATCCAGCTGTGAGACATTTATTCTTGAATTGCAATCACTAAAGATATGTTAGCTCACTATTATTTTCTAGACTCAATGCCTTCTACAGTTCATTTAAGGTAATATGTTCAGTAAAATGACATTTTTTCCTGTATTTTACTATATGACAAGATTTGTGAAAGACACAGTGAATACATTAACTTAAAACCTTCTCTTAAAATTCCACAGGGAATAACCACTAATTCTATTTTCATGGGAACTGTGGCTGAGAGGGTAAATAACTTATTCGCCTCCGGGTCAACAAAGATTTGAAACCAGAATTGTCTGATTATCCATAGCCTCTTTCCACTACTCCTTACTACCTCCTCCTAATGCAAACCTGGTAGGATTCAAGTCAGCAGACAAATATTAAGTTCCTACTATGTGCCAATTACTATGATAGGTTATGTGAAGAGGAGCAAAGATTAATACAGTCATGCCTCTGTCAATTATGAAATTCAACAGTTGTCACCTCTCGTTTTTGACTCATGGACCTACAATGGCTCCCTCTTGCATTTTATACAAAATCCAGATTCATCAGCTCTAATCAAAGTAGTCTATCAACTCTTCCCATAATCTGCACTCTCTTCCCATTCTCATTCCACTTGACTCTCCAACACAGTTGTACTATTGGCAATTCAACTTCCATATGGCCTTCTACAGTAACATTCTGCATTTGCTCTTTCTACTTAGAATATCTCTGTTCCTCACATTGCATTTAGGTACTATTTTTGTCCATCATTCTTCCAAGATTACTGCCACCAAATAGACATTCTATCTGCCCTTCAATTGTATCTTTTTCTGTGACCTTTTATCAAGTATGCCTGTAGTTTACACTATATTTTTCTGTTGCTTTGTACAATTTAATTGTTTCAAGTATGTGGAATGAGACTACTAAGAGCAAGCTCCATATCATTGGGATCCTCCATTCCTACCATCAAGTACCACCTACTTGTACCTCTATCTAATAGAACTTTCTGTGATGATGGAAACACTTTGCATCTGCACTGTTCCATATCGTAACTACTTGCCACATGTGACTACTGAGCAGTTTTAATGTGGCTTCTGTGCCTGGGAAAGTCACTTAATTTTACTTAATTTTATTTTTTTTCGACTTAAGTGGTTCCCTGTGGTTACCATAACGGATAGTGTAGTAAAACTGTTATGTAAAATTTCAGTGATGAATAAACTACCACATTACCTGAGTAGACTTACAATAGCAGAGAAATTTTGTTAAACCATCCAATTGATAACAGAAAGATCAATGTATATGAAGCAGGTGTTCTGGATTTTATATGAAAACACTTGTTCTATCTTTTATTATTAAGTTTAATTGCACAGTCAGGATATGTGTGTTATGAAGAACAAATTTGGTAAATTCTTAGAAACTTTTACAAATCTTAATATAAAATATATAAGTGAAGTTCAGTTCTCTAATGAGCAAAGTGAATATTTTCAACTCTTAGGTGAAAAATTTCCTCATAGTAGGGTCTTCTACAAAAGTTGAGCTAAAGATATTTTAATGGTGTATGGGTCCTTATGTTAAAAACTACTAAACTAAAAAAATTACTAAACTGTCATTGATTTCATGAAAGCCCAAATTCAAAAGTCTGTGAATTCAAAAATCCACACAGGGTTTATCTTTTAAATGATAGAAAATTACTCCTTTTCTGATTGGCAAGGAACATTATAATGTCCGTATTTTGAATTTACAAGCCATGAAACAATCATTGACCACATGAAGCATCCATTATGCACAATCAACGAATGTGAAACAGGAAGGAAAAATGTACTTAAAATCAATAAAAATAATTTAATATATTTATATGATTACTTATACTGGGTGCAATGAAAATCTCTTTTGTAGAAATACAACATGGCCTCTGCTTTCTAAATATGATAGTATCTTTCTTTAATTTACTAGCACTGGCTCACTGAACTGGAAATTTTAGCAATGGTCTTTGCCGCTGCCATTCATGATTACGAGCATACAGGAACCACAAACAACTTTCATATTCAGACAAGGTAAGTTACAAAGAAGTACTAACTTTTCTAACTTAAAACTTGAAATTTATTTTTCTACATATTATTTTTAAGAAAATTTAAAAATAACAGTGAAGATGTCTAGTAAGTCGTTTTAATGGATTTTAGCAAAAGTCCTTAAGCTACAATCAATTATTGATTAAGAAAAGTGTATAAATATTTAGTGACGTATTTAGCAATTTAAAGAATGTAAAAATGTGTCAGATAATTTCTCTCTGCCCAGAACTTATACTTTGAACTATCACACACGTCAGACATCTACTGCCTGAGATGAATCTCACAACATATTATTTAAGGCAACAGTTTAGTATCATTATGTATTTGAAAGTAATAAAATTGTGCTTTTGAAAAAAATCAAAGAAACCTTATTTCCTGTTTAGTGTGAAGTGCTATATTTAAAATAATTAGAAAATGAGATTTTTTAATGATGGTAATAATGGCAGTTATTAGAATCAAAATACCAGAGTGGAGATATATCTGCCTGCTAGGGCTGTTATCACAAAATCACAGATTGGGTGGTTTAAAGAACAGAAATTTTCTCACAGTTTTGAAGTCTAGAAGCCCAAGAAGTGTCAGCAGGTTTAGTTTCTGCAGAAGCCTCTCTGCTTGATTTGCAGATGGCCACCTTCTCACTGTGGGTACACATTCCTTGTTTCTCTTCTTCTTATAAGAACGTTAGCCATATTGGATTAGGCCACACCCTTATAACCTTATTTAACTTTAATTACTGCTTTAAAAGCCTTATCTCCAAATACAGTCACATTCTAAGGTACAAGGGGTAAGGACTTCAACATATGAATTTTGGGGAGACATTCATTTCATAACAGAAAGGTGCTCTGTGTTCTTTTCGGTTGCACAGAGATCTCAGTGCCTGGGAGGCAGAATGTATCTAGGACCCACCATGATCCAACTTTCTATACATAAGATCCTGACATTTCTCTAAGTCTTTCATCTGTCAGAGATGCTTGAGATAGAGGTGGAAGTTGAGAGACTGATGTTTCTCTGGAACTACTGTAGAACCCTCCAGTCTTATTAAGGGAAATCTAAATCTATTTTTTGTTTTTTTTTTCTTTTTTTAATTAATAGGCTTTATTTCTTAGAGCAGTTTTAGATTTATAGAAAAACTGAACAGAAAGTACATAGTTCCCATATATTCTGTTTCCCCACCCCCACAGTTTCCCCATTGTTAAATCTTGCATCAGTATGGTACATTTGTTATAATGAACCACTATTGATACATTATTATTAACTAAAGCCCATAGTACACATTAGAGTTTAGTCTTTGTGTTACACATTGTATGGGTTTTACAAATGTATAATGTGTATAATGCTATGTATCCACCATTATAGTATCATACACAATAGTTTCACTGCCCTAAAACCCCTGTGCTTCACCTATTCATTCCTCCCTCCCTCCCTACTTTACACCTGACAACCACTGGTCTTGTTAATATCTTATAGTTTTGCCTTTTCTAAAATGTCATATAGTTGAAATCGTATGATATGAAGCCTTCTCAGACTGGTTTCTTTCACTTAATATGCATTTAAGGTTTCTCAATGTCTTTTCATGGCTTGATAGCTCATTCATTTTCATTGGTGAACAATATTCCATTTTATGGATGTGACAGAGTTTGTTTCCTTATTTGCCTATGAAGGATATCTTGATTACTTCCAAATTTTGGAATAAAGGTTATGAATAAAAGGGCTATCAACATTCATGTACAGATTTTTGTGTGGTCTGTTCATTTGCTTTTTAATGGCAATATTTCTAACAACTGATTTTGCAGCTATAGGAAATTATTTTTTTAATGTGGAGATCATAGGAATATTTTATTAAAAGGTTAGACATTTTTAGAGCTTTCAGTGACTAAAGTGACAGAGAGCCACATTATGGATCATCTAGTCAAGGACTCACAATCTAAGGAGTGAAAACAAAGACCTCAAGAGGTGAAATGACCAATCTGTGTGCACATAGCTGGCTGATGGCAGTAGTGGCAGAATTGAGAAGCCAAGAGGGACAATCCCAATCCAGTCTACTCATATAACTCTGACCCCATGTCCAAGGCAGATGCACGTGAGTTCCAGTCTTCTATAGCCTGAAATAGGATGAGCTTAGATAACGTGCCCTCTTGATGGAGACAGAGGAAGAGTTGAAATTCCAACAGTGAAATATTGAGGAAAGTATTCTGTCTATCCCCAGAGTCCCTGAGATTGACAGACTGTGAAGGGGAAAGGCAGACCTGGAGGTCTGGTCATGTGCAAGAGGATGTTATTAACCTACACATTTGCAGAGTAGAGGGACCTGTTCTGTTGTTGTGTCAAACATCAAAGCAAATGTAGACCGGGCAGATCATTTTTGTTTGTCAAAGACTCTTCTACATCCACTGAATCCATAATGAGTGAGATTTTAATTAAAGACGGCTCGTTACTGAGCTGGGCCCTGTATAGGACAACAGTTTTAGCAGTTGGAGAAGGGAACAAGTGATTGGTTACCCATGAACACTTCTTGTTTCTACTTTGAAAAGTAAAGGCAATGGACCAGCCTTCTCCAGCAGCTGTGTCGGGCCATCACTTCTAGCTTTCTCCTTACCATCCATTTGCATCTGATGAAGAGTCCTAACTTCCTTATTCTTTGGACTGCAGAGAAGGGGAAGGAAATGGAGAAAAAGAAGAGGTGGAAGAGGAGAAGGTGGAATAAAGAAAGAGGACAGGGAGGAAGAAGAATTCATTTCCCCCCCCAATTTTACATTAAGAAACTGCATATAAAGGGGAGAAAAGGTCTAGTATTTTATTTATTTTCTTATAAATTGCCTACCAGCATCAATTTAAAGGATTAATTATACAAGAATTTGAAAATTCTATGAACGAAAATGTTGTAATGACCACAAATGCAACAATATAATGTGCTTTTAAAACCCTATCACCTTTACATTTTGTCCAAGAAAAAATAACGTCTTATGTTACAAGTATCAATAATTCTATTGTATTTTATATTACTCATTGTTACTTGGATTTAGAATGCTTTTCTAATGTGGAAAACTATATACTGGATAATGCAAAATAAAAAATAATTTAGAACGTAGTCCAATGCTAGATTTGAGTTCAGTATAGACATTATAATTCATGAAATCCTTGAAAGTGTAAATAAATGGAAATAATTTCTTTTTTGTGAAAATACCGAACTACATGTTACCATGGATACTGAATGTTGCTTAGAGTTTTGTTCTTTTCTTAGCAGTCAAAGACCATCTCAAACATTAAGATGGTGCTGTATTCTCAGAATCTTATTGGATTTATGAGACAAAATCATAATAGATTGCTACAATTAAATCTGGTTCAAAGATACATCTTTGCTTGCTGCTGAAAGTAAAAGACAGTGATACTTGGAGTTATGTCATGTAATTACACTGCCATGGCTAGATTTGAGGCCATATGATACAAATGATATGTGATTTACATGTCAGTTTTTCCCATGATCTGAGTGAATTTTTGGAGATACTTGGGCAAGATATATTCAGTTCTTTCTTAAACAAGGTTTGCAGGTGTACTTTTCTGTATGCGGAGTTATGATTATTGGCTAAAGAATTTTTAGGCCATGGTTGAGATTCAAAGAAATCTATTTTGGAATTATGTACCATTAGCTAACTACATATGTTTTTCCACCTTTATGACAATTCTAGAAACAAAAGATAATTGTTCTGCCTCATAGGTCATTTCCCCTATGTTGGATTAATAATAAAGCTTGGTTTATTTAGTAGATTATTAGATACAGATCTCAAATAGGTTACTCAAATAGGTTACAAAAAGATAAAACCAAAACCAGGTTTCTTTCGTTCTTTCATTTATCCTTGCCTATTCTTTGGTAAACATTCAGTGGTAAAGTCAGTTCTATTACCAGTACTACTGACTGAGAAGCCTAAAACAGTGAGTCTTAGTGAGGCAGTTTTCATGCTGACAGAGTATATATCTACCACAAGGAAGGAAAAATGAAGAGTCCGGGCATTGCAGCAAGTGGAAGCAAAGTTGCACAGGTTTTAACTTGACTTTACTTTTGCTATTTTTGTTGCCTCCAGTTTGGCAACTTATATGGGTTGATTTACCATTTTAATACATTATACATAGTGGTCCTGCTTCCATTCCACATTTGCAAAATGATCTGGCAACCTAAGAGGACAGAGGAAGAAGCCAGGGCTCCATTATACAGATCTGAGAATGCTTGGAATATCTCATACTTTATTCTAGAATACTAAGTTAAACAATGCTACAGTATGAAGTAGTTTATTTGCTCAAATGATGTGAAAATATGGACAGGTGAAAAGCAAAAACTTCCCTTGATGAATTCATCATTTTAAAATATAATGTTCATTATAAATTGGTGGTAAAGCACACATTTTAAATTTGGGGTTTTTTAATTTAATGCTGCAGGATCTAAACATTCAAATTGAATCACAACATTATAAGGGAGAAAAAAACTAAAATCATAAATAGAGCAAGTGATTTTCATCATCCCCTCTGCCCTCCATCCAAAGTAATTTTAGTCCAAGGGAATAAGAAATAGTTGGCAATCAACTATCTGGAACGGGTTGATTCATCAACAGAGGGATTGATTCATTCAATGATTGAATGAGGATATCAGGTAATTTTTTTTTCTCTGTTTGGCATATGTAGATTATCTCACAGGTATCTGGATTACAAATTGTAAGGAAAAGGCATAAGTATATTCAAACTATGATAATTAAAAAGAAACTAAGCACTATGACCAAATGGGATTTATTCCCAAGCTCAACATTCAAAAATCAGTTAAGGAAATCATCATATCAACATGTTAAAGAAGAAAAATACATGATCATATCAAAATGCAGAAAAGGTGTTTGACAAAATCCAGCACATTCATGATAAAAATGCTCCACAAACTAGGAATAAAGGAGACCTTTCTCAACTTGATAAAGAAGATCTACAACAAACTGACAACTAACCTCACACTTAACAGTGAAAACCTTGAAACTTTCCCACTAAGGTCAGGAACAAGGCAAGGATATTCTCTCTCACCACCTTTTTTTTTAACATCATAGTGGAAGTACTAGTTAATGCAATAAGGCAATGAAAGGAAACAAAATGTATAGAGATTGGGAAGGAAAGCATAAAACTTTGTTAGCAAGTTACATGATAATCTATATAGAAAGTCCAAAAGAACTGACAAAAAAATTCCTAGAACCAATAAGCAATTATAGTAAGTTTGCAGAACATAAGGTTAGCAGACAAAATTCACTTTCCTATATGCCAGTAATGAACAAGTGGAATTTGAAATTAAAATCACAATATCATTTACATTAGCATCAAACATTGAAATATTTAGGCATAAACCTAACAATATGTATAAGATATATATCAGGAAAACTACAAAAATCTGTTGCAGAATTCAAAGAACTAACTCACTGTAGGGATATTCCATGTTCATGGTAGGAAGACTCAGTATTGTCAAGACGTCAGTTCTTCTCAACTTGATCTATAGATTCAGTGCAATCCCAAACTTCCAGCAAATTATTTTGTGGATGTTGACAAGCAGATTTAAAGTTTATATGGGAAGGCAAAAGACCCAGAATAGCCAGCCAACACATTACTGAAAGAGAAGAACAGAATTGGAGGATTGATACTATCTAACTTCAAGACTCACTATAAAGATACAGTAGTAAAGATAGAGTGGTATTGGTAAAAGAATAGACAAATAGATCAATGGAACAGAAGAAAGATCCCAGAAATAGACACACATAAAATATAGTCAACTGATATTTGATAAAGGAGCAAAGGCACTGCAATAAGCCAAAGATAGTCTAGTCTCTTCAATAAATGGATCTGAAACTACTGAACATGCAAAATAAAAATCTAGACACAGACCTTATTCTCATCACAAAAACTAACTCAAAATGGATAGACCTAAATGTAAAATGCAAAACTGTAAAACTCCTAGAAGTTAACATAAGAGAAAACCAAATGATCCTGAATGTGGCGATGACTTTTTAGATACAACACTAAAGGAAAAAATGACAAAAAATAATTGCTAAGCTGGACTTAATTAAAATTAAAAACTTATGCTCTGTAAAAGACAATATCAAGATAATTAGACCATCCACAAAGTGGGGGAAAATATTTGCAAAGGATATATCTGATAAGGGACTGTTATGCAAAATATACAAAAATTCTTGAAACTCCACAATAATAAATGACCTGACTTAAAAATGTGCTTCAACAGACACCTCACCAAAGAAGATACACAGATGGAAAATTAGCATATGAAAAGGTGTTCCACATCATATGTCATCAGGGAAATGCAAATTAAAGCAATGAGATACCACTACACATCTATTAAAATGGCTAAAATCTGGAACACTGATGACACCAGTTGTTGGTGAGGATGCGTAGCCACTGGACCTCTCATGCACTGTAGTGGGAATGCGAAATGGTACAGCCATTTAGGAAGACAGGTTGATAGTTTCTCAAAAAATGGAACATAGTCTTCCAATACAATCCAGCAATCACACTCCTTGGTATTTACCCAAAGGAGCTGAAAAATTATGTCCACACAAAAACCTGAACATGGATATTTATAGCAGCTTTATTCATAATGGCCAAAACTTGGAAGCAACTGAGAAATCCTTCAGTAGGTGAAAGGATAAATTGTGATAGATCCAGACAATGAAATATTACTTGGTGTTCAAAAGAATTGAGCTATCAAGCCATGAAAAGACATGGAGGAAACTTACATGCATATTACTAAGTGCAAGAAGCCAGTCTGAAAGGGTTACATACTATATGATTTTAAGTATATGATATTCTGCAAAAGCCAAAACTATGGAGAAAATAAGAAAGATCAGTGGTTGCCAGGGGTTATGGGCGTGGGAGGGATGAACAGACCGAACACACAGGATTTCTATGGCAGTGAAAAGTGTAATGCCATAATGGTGGATGCATGTCATTGCACATTTGTCCAAAGGCACAGGATATGCAACCCCAAGAGTGAACTTAATGTAAACTATGGATTTTGAGTGATAATGACGTTCAATGTAGACCTATAAATTATAACCAACGTACCACTCTGGTGGGCGATACTGATAATGAGGGGGTGGTTTTACATGTCTGGGGTGAGGAGGTATATGGCAAATCTCTGTACCTTCTGCTCAATTTTGCTGTGAACCTACAACCGCTCTATTTTTTTTAAAGCTATCATATGGTTAAAAAAAAAAGGAACTAAGTACTTCCATAAATGTTCGATTATAGAATTCTTATTGATGAGATATCTTGTGACTTGAGTATATTTAGCAAACACTCATGAAGTCTAAAAGAAATCCTCTCCTGGACATTTTGTTTTTAATTCTTAGGTCAGATGTTGCCCTTTTGTATAATGATCGCTCTGTCCTTGAGAATCACCATGTGAGTGCAGCTTATCGACTTATGCAAGAAGAAGAAATGAATGTTTTGATAAATTTATCCAAAGATGACTGGAGGTGAGTTTCAAAGGAAGCCCAGAGGAAATTTAATTTCAGGAAAAAGTTAAATTATGTGATTTAAAGTGAAGAAAGTCAATCCCTCACTCATATTATAAAAATTCCCCTTGACTGGATGACTCTGAGAAGGATTAGAATCTAGAAGATGTTGTTCAGGAGCCAGGCTCTGCTGGTTGGAGTTGAGCTATTTTCCAGGCTAATTTCACATCTGTATACATCATAGCCAGTCCACAAGACTGCACACCACACAACACATACTTTAGGATACATAATGATGTACTCTCTGGAATGGAGCTCTGCTTAATTGTGGTCCTAAATAAATTCAGAATCTTAGTGTAATATGGATTCCTTCATATATTACTTTTCTATATGTGGAGTTTAGCTTTTTTAAAAAATAAAAAAAAATTCACTGTTTGAGGAAAAAAATTACAAATACAATATACTAAAATGACGCAGATGCAGAGGGAAATCTTACCTGTTTCTCCAAGGCATCCATCTGCTTAAAAAGAAAAAATCATAGATCAGTGATACTTGTTGCCACATAGAGAGAAATAACAAGATGTACCCCTACAACTCAGCATAACTTTTCATTCTTCTTGATCCTTTGGTCATCATCAGGCCTTTCATTTAACTATAGGGCTGCCAGATATAGCAAATAAAAATAAGGGATGTCCAGTTAAGTATGAATTTCTGATAAACATAGAAATTTTTAGTGCAAATATGTCTGCTGATCCCTACTAGTCAATGAGACTTACTTATACTTAAAAAAAGAAAAGCCTTGTCTTTAACAAAGATTTTGTTAAAAGTTAGTTAATGGGCTGAAAATTTTCCATTTAAATATCAAAGGTTTTTCCATTTTTCTTTAAATTGAGGTAAAAGAAAAGTGCCTTGGGATTAAGAACTGCCTCAAAATAAATGAATGAGTAAATGAATAATTGGTTAATTCAAGATTTAAAACAAGCCCTAATTTTTGATGGTTACTTTTCCAAATATTCAAGCTTTCTGGTTTTTCAAGGCCATTTTTGAAGGTGTGTAAAAAATACCAGCTCACTTTTGCAACTATAGAAGCAAATCTAATGTGCGTGGAAGGAGGCACTTTGTTTTGGGAAACTGGTTCGGGTCTTTCATTTTATTCTGCAAGAAACAATAGCCCAGTTGGGTTTCCAGCTAAAAAGGCCAGCATCTAATTGTAAAAGGATCTTAAAGCTACCACGGCTGGGCTGTGTGGAGAATAGAAGAGCAAAAGTAGGTGTAGGGAGATAAGTTTGGAGGTATTTCTTGTAATTATAAAGATGATTATTTACATTTAGAGTATTAATTTAATTTTTCATCAGTGATTATTATTCCCAGAGGTAACATTTATATTATTAATTTTTACAGTTATTCCTGTGAATTAACCTTTTTCCTTCTCAAAGTTGATTCTGTTGCTATTTCAGTGTGATTTTTTTACTACTACATTTTTGTTCTTTAACATCTTTATTATTCTAATAATTTATTCCTGTAATATTTTATAAATTTCTGTACAGTAACTTCTCAGAATCATCCTAATTGAATATTTTTATAGAATTGTTTTAACAAATACTATAATACCATATAGATTGTAGAATTTAATAGATCCAACATTGTTTCTAAAAAGCTACAAAAGATACATTTGCTAGTATAAAGTTGATAACATGTTACCACAAATTAAAATATGAATAGCTTTTTAGAGATTTGTAGGTTTTCTGTTTGCATATCTATTTATTTCTTAAAGTAACTTTAGTAACCATAAATGCAATAATTTAAAAATTTTGGTAAGGAAGATTCATAAATAAAGTAACATTTCCCTTGTGCACTATTTTGCCTAGCTTATTGATACACTATTTGTTGATTATTGATAATATCTAGCATTTACTAATCACTTATTTACAAAGTACAATGTACTAAATTTTACAGATTTCATAAAACTTTTGTCTCATTTTTCCTTAGTTAAAATAAGTATTTTGGTTCAGTTGCTATTGTAATATGGGTCTCTTCCTAATTCCAGAGAAAAAATGTAATTAAGAATAAGTTTAAGGGCGCCTGGGTGGCTAATTCAGTTAAGTGTCTACCTTCCACTCAGGTCATGATCCCGGAGTCCTGGGGATCTGTGGAGCCCCTCATCAGGCTCCCTGCTCATCAGGGAATCTGCTTCTCCCTCTGCCTCTCACCCCTAATGTTCTCTCACATGTGTTCTCTCTTTCAAATAAATAAATAAAATCTTTAAAAAAATTTATTAACTATTTTTAGTTTCCATTCCTTTAATATTTGGGTAAAAGTGTTCTAAGCAAGCTATCCAATATCATCAATAGTAATCAGAATATTGATTTCTCACAATGCTCATCTAAAAATCCAGTTGAATTGAGCACCCATAATTTTCAGCAAGCATCTCTAATATGTGGTTGTTTTAAAAACAAATCATTCAATCCTACAAACTTTAGGTTAAAAATCTTTGACATGAGATTATAATTCACCTTATAAAGGTAAACACACACCTTTTATTTAGCTTCTATTGGCCATGCCACAGAATGAAAATAAAATATGATTTCCAGTGTGAGTGACCTTTTTATGTATCTGTACTGAGCAAGCAATGACTTGTAGAACATGCAAGGCTTTGCTGAAATAACCAATTTCCTACTTAGAGTGAGAATGCGTTATTCATGCAAAGGTTTTGTGATATGGTCAGTGTTTAGCTCAAATTAAAATTTGATTAAAATTTCAATAATACCAATAGCTCTGTCTACAATATATTGTAGAGTCAGGGTCCCAAAAGCCGAAAAGAAGAATCCCCACTCACTTTAGCATCTTGCTTCTCTAGGTTCTTAGAATAGAAAGAAGTGGTCCAAGTGTCAGCTTTAGGAGTGGGAAATCTTGGGGTTGAATCTTGCCTCTGCCATCTACCAGCTACCTGTGTGACTGGGCAAAACTCAATTTCCTCTGGTGTGAAATGATAATAGCTCCTCATATAAAAGCACCTAGCACAGTGTTTGGACTAAATAGATCCTGAATACATAGTGGTGGTTTTAATAATAGAATATACTGCATTTAAAATTATATTTTTAAGTTGGTCAGGATCCTTTCAGATAGAAAAACAGTATTTAGGAATTATGAGTAGGGGAGGGTTGTGGGTGTGCTTGGGGGAAGCATCCAGTTCTTTAAGGGGTGATGTTAAACAACATCATTCACAGATCACTCTTCTGGCAACTTTCTAAAGCCGTAAGAGTTAAAGGGTGAAATAATGTCAATGTTTGTGAGCGCTTTTATGTTTAAAAAATAGCATCTTCCGTGCTCATATCCATAAAGAAAAATAAAATTTAGTTAGTAATATTTAAGAAAATGTTTTACTTGAGAATCATCAAGGGCCAAATGAACCTTTCTTCTTTTGATGACCCCACAGGGATCTTCGGAACCTAGTGATTGAAATGGTTTTGTCTACAGACATGTCAGGTCACTTCCAGCAAATTAAAAATATAAGAAGCAGTTTGCAGCAGCCTGAAGGGTAGGTTATTTTCTTCCATCATGTTGAAGGTCCATGGGCTTAGACTCAGAAAAGACTGTAATTGGTTACTTTGGTCTGATAATTTGAACATGTCCTTGGTTTGACAGGATTGACAAAGCCAAAACTATGTCCCTGATCCTCCATGCAGCAGACATCAGCCACCCAGCCAAATCCTGGCAACTGCACCACCGCTGGACCATGGCCTTGATGGAGGAGTTTTTCCTGCAGGTGCCTCCTTCACAAATGTGCAAATGTTTTTGGAAATAGTGACTATGCGTATTGACGTGCACCTTTTTAAATGCAGAATCCAGAACTTGTGACTTACTATTATCAACTGGCCACAACACATCCTTGGGACTTTAAGCAGAATTTATCAGTCTTTCAGATAAATGTATTTCATAATCCTATGCAGTATAATATATGTTTTAAAGAGAGTCAAGTCTTGGATCGCAGATGCTACTCTTAGGAAAGAAAGAAACAAACAAATCAGCATTGTTGTCTGCTATTAAGAGGTAAAATGCTAGAGTAGAGAGAGCAAATATCTTTCATCATAAAATACGAAAGGGGAGGATATACAGCACTGCTGTATACATCTTGTTGGGCAAGGGAGGCTGAGAAATGTAGTTTTTTGCTGGGCGGACATGTGCCTAAGTAAAAACTAGATTGTTCTATGAAAAAGCAAGCTTGGACATGGGGAATGGCCAGTGCTCTCTACCACAAGTATACTTTTGTTTTTTTTTTTAAATAGTATCCCTGTTCTATTTCTACTTCCACCTGAGGTACCACAATACAAATATGATGCTAACCACCCAGAGTTAGCATCAGTTCCCAAAGTTAAAGGCTCAGTTTTCCATAAGAATGGCTTTACTTCAAGATGCCAACCTCGGGCGCCCGGGTGACTCAGTCGTTAAGC